AGTTGATAATGATTGTACTCGTAAATGTATAAGTGTAGCGTCCAATAAAGGATTCGCTGAATCCGAGACCCACGCATAGTTATTTGTTGCTTGCAATACCCAACACGTGACAATACGTTTATCGCCCTTCTGGAAAACGGAATATTGGACTTCAAAGAAGATGATCAGACCAATTTATTTATACCCGAAATGGATCATGACCGAGTCCTTGAATTGGCAGAAGGAGCAGAACTGGTCAACATGAGCATTGTAAAGTAATATGCCATAGGAAACACGAATGTATAACTTTTATAAATGAGGAATAGATTCTATGACATCACTTTGCTGGAACTGTTACTAATTTGACTCGAAACTGACACTTCTGAATTATACAAACTGACTAGTGCTGTCAGTGATAAATGTCTGAAACAAATTGGTTGTAGAAAGTCGTCTTCTGGGTTTAGGCACCGTGTATTCTTCGTTTTTGGCCGACGTAGCTACAGCTACAGCTACAGCTACTGCTCTCTGCATTCCAAGCCATTCAACTGCTCTGAAGATGTAGGCGATACATTCCTCCGAAACGTCGGCCAAAACGAAGAATACACGGTGCCTAAACCCAGAAGACGACTTTCTTCATAGTCATCGCCGTGAAAACCTCAAAACTTACAAATTGGTTGTAGATTATTAATATCTTGCAGAAGTTTCAGCCTGTCCCTAGAGTATATCTATTGCTTTTAGTTGTGCTTTTATTTTCAGAGAGCTCTTAAGCGCTGAAGGATTTCCTCTTCTTTCAATAACAAATTATTGTGTTCTGGGTAGGTAGGAAAATCCAAAGCTTCAGATGAGAAAAAATTGAAGGGGCTCCAGAGTCGATTGCTATCGCATTGTTTTCTGTCTAGCGCACCATTTATAAAGGTGTTGATTGAATTTTACCTTCCAAACAAAATACCATTGCGGGGACTTAAGTTCGATCAGGAATGTTACTAATTATCAAAGTCTATTTTACATAACATTAAGCTTATTGCAAAGCAGTAACAATCCTGATTATGATCGTCATTGCGTTCAATAGTTAAGGTGTCAAATGGTGCCTTCAATTTGAATAATTATCTGTGGGTTCCCGCAAACAAAAGGCATGTTTTCTCCACTGCTCCCTGATTCACGTCAATCAAAATCACCTACCATGAAGAGTACGATCGTCTGGACTGTAACGCTGTCGAGTTCGGAGAAAGCCCGACGTTTCGTAAGGTCATATCGAAGAGTAAGCTAAGCAAGAAACCAACAGAAGTTGGTGACTAGCCGAAACTGGACTCTTCATAGTCACCGCTGTCAGAGCCTCTAACCCAACACCAACCACGAAGTTAATAATCCAGGGAAACCGCTGGAACCGGGAGATAGGCCACGACATTACTGTTGCATAGTTTCTGATTAATTGTGAGAAGACATTTTTGAATCCAAACCTACAGACACGTAGGAAAATGGCAAAAACAATTAACTGCGGCCTACTGTTCCTCCAACTTGACTCTCTAACGCTACGAAATAAAAGTGTGGGCATTAGAAATAAGAACTGTTTGGTGGAATTTCGGCATGTCGGTAGAGTTAGTTGGCAGCCATGATTGTTGTAGCAAATAGTCTAAAGATGGCATTTGTTTTGTGTCTGTGGTTGTGTTCTTGTTGTGGGTTTTGTAATACAGCTTAGTAATTTATATAACAGTCTGGTGTAGTAACGGATTTTAAAGGAATTTGAAGGTAAGGGTTTATTTCTCCTGTCATATTTAAGAGTGGGCATGTTGTGTTATAGGGCGTGTACAAATTAGTGAACGTGCTGTGCAAGTGTTCGAATTTAGAGAATGACTGGGGAAGCATGTTGCGACATTTCTCAGTAACCTTCGATAAAATTACCAAATAATGTGATATAGAAATCAAAGGTAAAGCAAATTTTGTTGCTTTAGGGGCACGTCTCTCGTTTTTAAGCGTGTGTATGGTATTCATTTCTTTTTCACATTACGTTCTGTCTTCACCCTGACATTGGGTCATGCGACATGGTTTACAGGTTGTTACAATGAGCGATGTAACCGCTATGCGTATTGTTTGATTGCGTGTGAGGTGGGCTAAAGGTCCAGTGCCCATAGGCGTAAGTCATACTATGGTGCATGAAGTGGAGTAAAAGTGACATTGTAATTCCATGTAAATAATGTATGAATTATGTACCAAGTTAACAACAGTGAACCAAAAGAAAATGTAGTGCAGCACTTACGTAAGAATATCTACCTGATGATAAACTTATAAGGTCGAAACATCAATAACGTCTATAATCTATGACAATGTAGCGCACCTCCAGCCAATGAATACAACAAGAAGTTGCATCTAGAAGACTGCCCCTGTGAATAAAATTGTTAGCCTGTGCAACAGGATGCTGAAATGTTGTGTCATGTTCACAGCATGGTACCATGAAAGATCAATTAAAGCAAGTAACAAGAATTGAATGATGAGTACTGTCTTGTAGGATATAGCGCCGTCTAGTCTGTTGATAGTCACTGGACGTTTCCGAAGAAAATAGCGCCTTCATCTTCAGGGTCGGAAAAGCCGAGAAAGATACCTGCCTTCACGCTGGTGTTTTGCTCGGCTTATTCCACCATGAAGATGGAGGTGATATGTACTTGCAAAATTTTGGTTGACTCAACGGACTACATGGCTTGATATTCCAGAAGATATCGTTTTTCATAACCACCCGTGCGAGAACCACAATTCCTGCAAGAATTCAATAGACTTTAATTCTGTTAAGCAGTTACAGAGGGTTGAATTATTCTTTATTTGTGTATGGTGACTGGATTTGTGCTGGAGGAATTGGGATATTTTAGAGAAATATGACTTGAATGAAACATCACGAACTAAGTTTTGAAATACATATCAGAAGTCAGCACTATGTATAAGTCCTTGACAAGTTGTTCCAGACAGTCGTGTTTGTGAATTATCTGGTATGCAAAATAACTGCTAAAAGGCAGAATAAGATACTGTTCCTACTTAAGCTTAAATGCTTTGCCTGTGAGGCAAGGCAAGAGATATATCATACCAAAATTGAATCCTCTCTTTGATGTTATAGCTTATGTGTAGAAACCATCTGAAGGTTATTATTTATGAAAAAGAAGTACGTGATTAGATGTTGGAAGTTGTATGGCCTGAATATAAGCCATGTGAGGTGATGATAAAATTTAAAGAAGTGTTAGTCGTAATGGGATGTGGAACAATAAATGATGTCTGTTTTGAGATTTAGCCTGAGATCTTGGGAAAACAACATAATCATGCCGTCAACCAGACCCTTTCAAGTTTTGCACAGACTCTGGCAGCATGTCGAAAATTTCCAGGATGAAAATTGATCAAAAATTGAAAATATTTTAGTCACTGGCTGTAAAGTGCACATTATTTTCACAGAAGTTTCACTCGTATGGTTGGTTTTACTGGATATTAAATAATTAACTGCTGTTAGTCCAATATTACTTATCAAAGTGCGGTAAGTTGTAAAAGTTCATCTGACTTTAGCTTATTGGTAACGATTCAGGCATTCATGGAAAACATGTTTCAACACATGTTTGAAGCTGAGTATTTACAATAACTGATCATAAAGACAACATTTTGATTGAGTGCGATCAGTTTCAAGTCACTTGTTGTGTCAGTAACAATATTCCATAATGTCCTGGAGACTGACAGCGCAATTTAAAATAATGGAATTACAAGCTGATTATTTTAACATTTTCATTCACAAGTATAGAAGAACTTCTGAATAATTCTCTTGAAAATACTAAATGCCACAATGACAGTTTTGGTTACCTGTGATTAATGAGTCCTGCTGTCAGCTGAATATACAGAAGCTACAAGTTTGAAGTTTCATATATAACTTAATGTTACCTTGTGCCTAGTATACTTATTTCCATAATTAGGTATGAGGGTATAAATCCTGTTACAGGATTTCTCTAGAAAATGAAATCCTCATTATTAAGATGGATAATAACATTCAAGATGTTTTCTGGGATATGACAGTATATACTAGTATTTTGTTGGATGGTTACCT